CCCCCCCCCCCCCCGCAACGTTTTGATACCATTCCTCAAATTAGGTGGATATTTTAAAAATATTCTCAACAATTACATAACTGGAAGGTATTTAAAAGTACTACAGAGAAAGGAAAACAAAGTGTTGCTAAGTAAATATGGAATAAGCTATGCTTCCTTTTAATTTCTTTTGTGCAATGACAGAATGATAGAGAGTACTGGGAACATTTATTACTGACAGGTGTAATTTCACCCCTACTTGAAAGGCCATGACTTTAAAAGGAGATGAAAGCCTCCAGCTGATGAATGAGGGAAGAAAAGTCTGACAGGAATAACATGACTGTCTCAAGGGAATTGAGTCATGTGGTCCTGCGGTTTACCATTTGGCCATGAAGTTACAAAGATTTACAGTGTGTTCTGAAGGGGTTTGGAACCCGTTTATTTGCATTGACTTCTGGAGAGCTGATAGAACAACTTAGTGAAATTACAAACACTGTGACCAGCTCATCCTGCAATTGATAATGACATAATGGTTATAGGCCACCCAGAGTAAATTTAACCATGACTGATAAAACCCATGTGCCAGCAAGTTTCTGGGCTAATAACAAGATTTAGATAGTAATCTGGGTATAAAAGCCTTTATAATTTTAACAAAAACCTTAGGTTTACATTTAGAAAGGGGCTTATATCACTTTTGTAGATTTTGTAGTAGCAAAAATAAGGTCTCAAAGGACTTTTCAGCTTTAAGCCTATTCTGACAAAACGTGAAGATCAAATGTCTTTAAGTTATATTGAATAATTAAGCCAACGGACATTCTGTACCATTATTTTTAAGCTGATGGGCTTAGAAACTGAGTCAAGGAATATTAAAATTGTAAAGGAGATAGATGTCAAGTATTAATTACTATAATGTAAGGAAAAATGGATGAGAGTCATAGGAAATAAACAAGATAGAACAAGAGATGAAAACAAGAAGTGGCTATTGGTCTGCAGGCCTTAAAGTAGCATAACATTTTGTTAGAATTTACTCACTTTTGGGAGAAAATATTTGAAGACCATGTATGTGATAAGACATTAACATCCGAATTATATACGGAATTCATACAACTCAATAGCAAATAAATAACCTAGTTAAAAAGTAGGCAAAGGCACTGAATAGGCATTTTTCCAAAGAAAACATACAGATGGAGAACAGGTACATAAAGATGTGTTCAACATGACTAATCATCAGGAAAACGCAAATCAAATTACAATGAGATATTACCTCACACCTGTTAGAATGGTATTACCCAAAAGTCAAGAGATGATAAGTGTTGGTGTGGAGTAAAGGGAATCCTCGTACAGCTGTTGGTAGGAATGTAAATCAGTACAGTCATTATGAAAAAAAAAAAAAGTATGGAAATTCCTCAAAAAATTAAAGGTAGAACTACCATATGATCCAGCAGTCCCATTTCTGAGTATATATCCAAAGAAAATGAAACCTGGATGTGAAAGAGATATCAGCACTCCCATCTTCATTGCAGCATTATTCATAATAGCCAAGATACGGAAACAACTGAAGTGTCCATCAATGGTTGAATGGATAAAGAATATATGGTATATGTGTCCCATTGTATGTATGTAATATACATATATTATTCATCCATAAAAACATTACTATATCATTATATCATTCGCCCCCTAAAAAAGAAGAAAATCCTGCCATTTGTGACAATATGAATGAATCTCACTGGCATTACGCTGAGTAAAATAAGCCAGACACAGAAAGACAAGTGCTGCACGATCGCATTTAAGTATGGAATCTAAAAACAATCAAACACACAGAAGCAAAGAGAAAATGGTGGTTTCCAGGGGCTGGGGGTAGGGGGAATGGGAAGATGGTCAAGGAGCACAAACTTAGTCATACAATGAATAGGTTCTACGGCTCTGATGTACAGCCTAGTAACTGGAGTTGATAATACAAGTAGTGCAACTTGATAATGCTTCCTAAGGGTAAATCTTGTGGGTTCTCTCTCTCTCTCTCTCTCTCTCTCTCTCTCTCTCTCACACACACACACACACACACACACACACACACAGTCACACACAAAGCAACTATGTGAAATGATGGATGTGTTAATTAGCTTGTTAATTACCTTACTATAGCAATCATTTCACAGCGTATATTATATCAAACCATCACATTGTATACCTTAAATATATACAATTTGTCAACTGTATCTCAATAAAGCTGGAAAAAGGTTGCTCTCTTTTCCTTAAATGTGTATCTTTTCACTACTTTAGTACTATGTCCAGTTGGGGAAACTGAGGGTTCAGATGAGTTCGGGGCCATTCATGCCAGTGAAACCTGGGTAATGTCTTCTATAAACAGAAACCAGACCCTCATTTCCTTCTACACCTTACTGGTATTTATTTTTACTGGAGCATCTATTAAATTTAAAAAGTTGTTAATGTGATCAGAAAGTGGGGCTATAGAGAAAGGAAAACCAGAATCTCCTCAATTAATAAATTACTTAGAACTGCCTCACAAACAATAAGATTAAATAAGTATGCAAATTGTCTGAAAATCCATAGGTACTAACGAGAATTATTCAGTCTTTTGAACTTCTTAAGAAATTTCCCATGAGCAAAATGGTGCCCATATAGGACTAACGGATAGAACTACTAAAATGCATTTGGTTTGTTCAAACGCTGCTTAGAATTTTTGGCTTTGTTTCACCTTATCATTTCGAGGGTCATTTATGGACTGTTCAAACAAAGTTATTTTACCAGACAAACTGTATTAGTAGGTACAGGGACACAAAAACTCATAGAATGTAGCATACAAACATGCAAATATATAGATAGGTTAGCTGTCATGGGAAAGCTACCAAAACATAGTTACATATAAAATAGAAATTATAAAAAAAACTCCAGAGGTACCAAGTAAAAAAAGAAAGCATTACAAAACTAAATGCATCATGAAAAAATCATTACAGCATTGTTTGATATTTATCTAAAGTTGAAAACTTATGTCCACGCAAAAACCTGCACAGAGATGTGCTTTATTCATAATTTTCCAAAACCTGGAAGCAACCAAGATATCCTTCAGTAGGTGACTGGATAAGTAAATTATGGGACAAGCAGACAATGAAATATTCAGAACTTAAAAGGAATGAGCTATCAAGCCACACAAAGACATGGAGGAAACTCAAATGCATATTATTAAGTGAAAGAAGCCAACCTGAAAAGGCTACATACTGAATGACTATATGACTACCTTTTAGCTATATGTCATTCTGTAAAAGGCAAAACTATGGAAACAGTAAAAAAATCAGAGGTTGCCAGAGATTAAGGGGAATGGATGAACAGGCACAGCACAGGGGATGTGGGGGCAACGAAAATACTTTGTATGATACTGTATAGTTATTGTATATTTGTTAAAATCTGTAGAATGTACAATACCAAGAGTGGGTGGTAATGCAAAACTATGGACTTTGGGTGTATAACAAATATACCACTCTGGTTAGGGGGGATGTTGATAATGGGAAGGCTGTACACGTGTGGGGGCAAGAGATTTAGGAAATCTCTAAACCTTCCTCTTAATTTTGCTGTAAAACTATAACTGCTATAAAAAACTATTGTATATTTCATTATTACTGTGGCCCACTTTGAAAGAGAAAAAAAAAAACAAGAAATTTATTTAAAAATAAAATTAGCACTTATTACTCTGGATTGCTTAAAATTAATATTAATGAACTATCCTATTGAAATAATCCAACATTAAGAAAAGTAAAAATCTTTACACTTTAAACCATATAAACCAAACAGTGGAACATTTCTAAAAGGATATTCTCCAAAATAACTTTCTTCTCTCACTACATAGCTTCCTGACCTTGGAAATATTTGCATACACAGCATGACAAAGTTCTTAAGATTCTTTAATACAGTTAAATGAGATCACAGAAAATAGTACTTTGATAGCTGTGGATATCATTCAGATTTCACACTAAAGTTTTGCAGTGTGAATAATTATACACAAGGCAAGAGTCCTATTTCTTTACAAAGTCATATTAACATAATGCAAATCATTTTTTTTTTCCTAACATGACCTTAAGTTTCTGGACCTAATAAGGTACTCAAATAGCAAATAGGTTTAGTATTACAAAAGCAAATGTATGTATTTTAAAAGCCTTGGAAAGTTTTCCAGGAAATTTATCCATGCATTTCTTTATATTGAATTATAGGCCCTGATTTAAAAGTCTCTCACACTATGTGAACTTCAAATATATAACTAAAATAAATTTAAAATGTTGGTAAATCCCAAGTCATATGAGAATTGAATTTTATCATGCAACATTTTCACCCAAAATTTCCTTTTTCTCTCTCCTTTTCAGCATCCTCTCTCTTTCCCTCTTTCTCTCTATATAGACATATATGGAATATCTATGTATATATATGTGTATATATATTCATATATGTATGTATATTCATACATACACACATACAAACACACAAACTCTGTTAGCTGTATCTAGTTTTATATAAAAATTCTAACCCCTTTCTGACCTCAACATGATTATTCTATTTCTAACTATTATTACTCATTAAATCTCTGGCTACATCCCATTAGGTAACATCTGCTTTCTATCAATGCCAAGGAAGACAGGTTCTTTAAATAAACTTTCTTAAAAAATAAGAATAAGAATGTAGGAGCTGTATGGATCTTTAAAAAGTGGAAATGTAAGTTCTTTTATTACAACCAAAATGAGGTTTTTCAATATGAAAGCATTCCATTTACTCCAAGAAAATTGTGGAAAATATCAACATCTGTACATTGCAATAAAAGCCCTACTTGTAACTGCCATTCATCAAGCCAGTGAGTAATTCGGAAAACAGTAGCAACAGACCTTGGAGTGCAGTATATGCAGGATGAAGCCAAAATGTTTTTCTAACTTCTAAAGGAAACTTCCATGAGCACTACTTTCTGCCCGTTGCTTCTTCAAGGTATGAACAGCATTGAACCCCTGTTGATTTAACTCCAATAAATTGAAAGGAAATCCAAGTGAGGCATGTCCCATATGTTAACAAATCCTCCTATTAAAATATAATTTGAGCCTCATTCTCTCGTATTACAGGAATCAGTCATTGGTTGGCCACAAATAGATATATGCGTGAGTATAAGTATGAGAATATTGATAAAGTAAAATGAACAACCTGCTATTAATTATTTGAATACTTGATTTATTTTCCTTTCATGAACTCACTTACTAATGTTGGTGAAGAGAGACATATGACCCAAGAAAGAAGTTACTGAGAGATAGGTAGAAGAAGCAAGAAGCTTACAAACTGAATAAACTATTTTCTAATTATTTAGATTTAACATTTGTGAATGGTATAAAATTTAAGATAGTTCATTTCTTTAATGTGAGTGTCTCAATCGATTGGAATTATGAAAACATATGTGTGAATGTATGTGTGTGTATATATGTATACATATATATATATACACACACACATACAGAAATATTGACACAGTTACAATATATTAGAATCAAAAAGAAATTTTAACTGGAAAATGTTTTATAAATGTCTCTGCTACATCACATGCTAATCTAAAATAAAAATAGGCAAATCTGCTTCATAAAACCATTACATTGTTATATTACATGGGCTCCTAGTTCAATGTAATTTCCAAGCTTCCGCCACTATGATGGATTGATGACTGTAATTACATTTCCATTCCTACGGCAGCAGGTAATAGAAAGTAGGTATTCACCTTCACTTGCTCAGTTCTCTCTGCACAACTTAAATTACAAGACAAGCCCTTGAAACAATTTTGATCTAGACACTCATAGCTTTTATCCTGCACTTAGAAGCCCAGCTATATACATGAGCCTGGGTTTTCTGGAACATGATCCAAAGTTTCCTGATTCTGAAGTCAAAAGTACTGAGATTCTTGTAGCTCAGTGCCTTTTTTCCTTTCTTATCATTCATCTTAACATATTTCTCCTATATTTATACCTCTAAACTTCTTGTTCCCATCCTGCCTCCCCTCTCTCCATCCCTCCTTCTCTTCCTTACTTTCTCTCTCTCTCTCTCTCTCCCTATCTCTTTCTCTAGATCTACCCTGTGTGTGTGTGGGGGGG